CCTATTAGTTGCATGACATATCTTTTTCCATCCCTTCACTTTTAGTCTGTGTATGTCTTTGGGTTTGAAGTGAGTCTCTCGTAGGCAGCATATAGATGGGTTTTGTTTTTTTATCCATTCAATGACTCTATGTCTTTTGATTGGTGCATTCAGACCATTTACATTTAGGGTGATTATCAATAAGTATGTACTTATTGCCATTGCAGGCTGTAGATTCATGGTTACCAAAGGTTAGAAGTTAACTTCCTTAGTATCTAAGAGTCTAACTTAATTCACCTAGTATGCTATTACAAACACAATCTAAAGGTTCTTTCTTTTCCCCTCCTATTCTTCCTTCTCCATTCTTTATATATTAGGTATTATATTCTGTATTTTTTGTCTATCCCTTTTTATTACCTCTGGTGACAGCTGTTCAACCTTAGGAACACTTCCATCTATAGCAGTTCCTCCAAAATACACTGTTGATATGGTTTGTGGGAGGTAAATTCTCTGAGCTTTTGCTTATCTGGAAATTATTTAATCACTCCTGCAAATGTAAATGATAATCATGCTAGGTAGAGTATTCTTGGTTTGACATCCTTCTGTTTCATTGCATTAAATATATCATGCCACTCCCTTCTGGCCTGTAAGGTTTCTGCTGAGAAGTCTGATGATAGCCTGATGGGTTTTCCTTCGTATGTGATCTTATTTCTCTCTCTGGCTGCTTTTAATAATCTGTCCTTATACTTGATCTTTGCCATTTTAATTACTATATGTCTTGCTGTTGTTCTCCTTGGGTCTCTTGTGTTGGGAGATCTGTGTACCTCCATGGCCTGAGAGACTATCTCCTTCCCCAGATTCAGAAAGTTTTCAGCAATTACTTCCTCAAAGACACTTTCTATCCCTTTTTCTCTCTCTTCTTCTTCTGGTACCCCTATCATATATATATTGGTTTTTTTTTGGATTGGTCACACAGTTCTCTCAATATTCTTTCATTTTTAGAGATCCTTTTTTATCTCTGTATTCTTAGTATTCCTCTTCTGTAATTTCTATTTCATTTATCATCTCCTCTACCATATCTAATATCTAATCTGCTTTTAATATCCTCCATTCTGTTCCTCAATGATTATATCTCTGTCCTAAATTCTTTCCTGAGTTCTTGAATATTTTTCTGTATCTCCAGAAGAATGTTTATGATTTTATTTTGAAATCTTTTTCACTAAGATTTATTAATTCAGTTTCACTCGATAGTTTTTCTGGTGTTGAGATTTTGTTTTGAACCAGGTTCCTTTGATGTTTCATATTTGCCTGTGGCGCCCTCTAGTGCCCAGAAGCTCTACTCCCTGGAGCTGCTCAGCCCCTGGAGCAATGTCGGGGGTTGTAGGGGAGTGGTACTGGTGCCTGGGGGGAGGTAAGAGCTGTTTCCTGCTTCCCAGCTGCTATGCCTGTCTCCACTGCCAGAACCATTGGGCCAAACACACAGGTGTAAGCCCCTATGCTTTATGTTTGTAGCTGCCATAGGTGGGGCTTCCCTCTGGCTTGCCTGACACCAGAGCAGGGGCTGCTGGTTTGCGAGGCAGGTGCAGCCTCACCAGGAGGAAGGCACTGCAGGCTGCATATCATGGTGGAGGGGCCTTGGAGCTGCACAGTCAGCCAGGGGAATGGAGTGTTTGAAGATAATTTAAATTCCCAACCTGCTGGACAGATTGCACTGGACAATTTTGTCTACCTGTCCTTTCTCCTGAGCAGTAAGCTCTGTGAAATCCTTGCCACTTTAGCATCCCTCTTGCTTTTAGGAAGTCTCTCAGACTGCCCACCCAGATCAGCTGGATATGAATCCTTGTTTTCCACAAGAAGCTGGAATCTCAGTCTCTCTAGATATACTGACTGTCTTAGCTTTCCAACCCCACTAATCACCAGAGTGTCATACAGTGTAAGTTCATGCTCCTTGTACAGATTTCCAGGGCTAGGTGTTCAGCAGTCCCATACCTCCACTCCCTCGCCACTCTGTTTCTCTTCCTCCCGAGAGCTGGGGTTGGGAAAGGGCTTGCATCCTGCTGGATCATGGCTTTGGTACGTTACCCTTTTCCCTGAGGTCTGCTCTTTCCTCCAGGTGTGTGCAGTCTGGTGCAGCCTTCTTTCCTGTTGCTCTTTCAGGATTAGTCGTATTAATTATATTTTTATATTATATGTGGTTTTAAGAGGAGGTTTCTGTCTCACCTCTCACACTGCTATCTTTAATCCTCCAAGCAAGGCAATCTTGAGAGAAGAACAAAGCTGCAGGGATTACGCTCCCTGACTTCAAGCTCTTCTACAAAACTACAGTAATGAAAATAATTTGGGACTGGCACAAGAAAATACCCAAAGATCAATGGAACAGAATAGAGAGCCCAGAACTAAACCTATGTATACATGTTCAATTAATATACGATAAAGGAATCATGAATATACAATGGGAAAAAGGCAGTCTATTCAATAAATGTTGTTGGGAAAACTGGACAGCTATATGCAAGAGAATGAAACCGGATTATTGTCTAACTCCATAAACAAAAGTAAACTCAAAATGGATGAAAGACCCAAATATAAGACATGAAATCATAAAACTCTCAGAAAAAAACAGAAGCAAAAATCTCCTGAACATAAGCACAGGCAATTTTTTTCTGGACATGTCTCCCCAGGCAAGGGAAACAAAATAAAAAATGAACAAGTGGGACTACGTCAAACTAAAAAGCTTTTGTACAGCATAGGATACCAAAACAAAACATACAGTGTTGGAGAATATATTCATAAATGTTTTATCCAATATAGGATTAACATCCAAAATAAAGAACTCATACGACTCAACACCAAAGAAAAATAATCCAATTAAAAAATGGGTGGAGGACCTGAACAGACATTTTTTTGAAGAAATACAGATGGCCAACAGGCACATGAAAAGATGCTAACCTTTGCAAACAATATGGCTTCTCTCTCACTTACCAACTTTACATTTCCCTGTATGGCCCCGGAAGATGACTGGTTAGCCAGAGATGGGTAAGATTCCTCAAGGGAGGAACAACCTAAGACAGGCACAGTCGCAGGGGGGCCATCAGGTGAGAATTTGGGGATCAACAGAGGTGAGGCTCAGAACCTCACCCCCCCTGCTTTGAGAGAAATCTTCTGCATCCGTGGATGTCTTGCTGCCCTTGTCTATCCTGGATTAATACTTAGTCCACAGGCACACACCTGATCATCTGATCATCTACATTTGCCTTCTTACAGCACTAAACTATGTTTTCTACCTTTATCTTGCATCTACCTACCACTTCAGCATTTTATTAAAAATAAAAATAATAATAATAATAGGAGAAATGTGGGATCAACATATAAATCAAGTACAAAAATCAAACGAATATTCCTTTAAAAGAGGAACCTTGGGCAGAGAGGTGGTCATTTACCTAAGAGAACACGTGTCAGAGCTGAATCTAAACCTAGGCCTGCTGGCTGCTCCAGCCCAAGGAAATTTCCTCTCTCTGACTTTCCTTAGTAAAAAAGACTGAGGTTTGTTACAACCCCTACTCTGTATCCTTCAACGTCTTTAACACTCTTAGAGGCTCTTCCTTCCCCAGCCTTTCTCCCTACGAAGACGTTACAGTGACTTCCTAATTAAAGTCTTAGAGTCATTTATCTTCCTGTGAACATTACACGTTCCGTCCTTCCGTATGTGTCCACCGCCCCCAAGGCGATGTTACCATTCAGGCTCTTCCTCATGTGATGACCATCGGGCTGTGGGCTTGCATGTCCCTTTTTTCTTTTTCATTCCCTTTCGTTTCCTTTCTTTCTTGCTTCCTTCCTTTCAGCACAGTAAACTTCAGACAGACAGAAATGTGCTGGACGCAGTCTCTGAGCCTGCTAGGACTTACAGGCGCAAGGAGATGCAGTTGTTACGCAGCCCATCTCACTGGGTCGCTAACCCTTCAATGAGTTATGGTTATCAGGCAAAAAGCCAATTAAAAACCTGTGATTTATTTCTGCGGTAGTAATTAATTCTAAAATGTCAGCATTAAACCCCAACTCCTGCCACAGGTACAAAGCCCTAAGCGATTTACCCCTGCCTGTCTTTCCGCTGCGTTTTCTGCCACTCTGCACCTCTCCGGGAGCTCCAGCCACAAGGGCCAATCCTGCCTCGCAGCACTGACAATGTGACTAGTCTGTATTGAAATGTGCTGTAAATATAAATATGCACCAGACTTTTAAGACTTAGTAGGAATAAAAGGTCGCAAAATATATCATTAATAATTTTATATTGATTACCTGTTGAAGTACTATTTAGCACAGGTAGAGTTACTTTTGAAATTAACTTGTTCCTTTTCACTTTTACATGTGGCATTTCAAAAATTTTAAGATGACATTTGTAGTTCACACTCTATTTCTATTGGAAAATAGAATTTCTATGCTATTTCTATCCCTTCATGTTCTTTTGTTTCCATCTTGGTCCCTAACACTTTCTGGACTTGGGGCGCCCATGTTACCTGTTCAGTGTCTTTCTCGCCCAACTAGGATGAAGGCAGGAAACTTGTCTCGGGCACACCTGATTCCCAGGCACCGGGGACGGAGCCCGAGGCCAAGTAAGTGCTCAGGAGCTTTTGAGCGGAGGACCTCCCTCTTCCTCGTTGGGAGACGCTGAGCTCCGTCAGTCCTTCCCCAGAGCGCGAGGTCTCCGGTCCTTAGGGCTACACCCGCAGCTCCGCGCGGGCCAGGGCGCTCGACCTCGGAAGGCGGGCGGACGGGTATCCGCCCTTGACTAAGCCCCCTCTCCGCGCAGAGAGCTGGTCGCACACGGCAAGGAACTCGGGGCGACCCCTCCGCCCTCAGTCATCTCTCCCTGTTGGAGACCCGCCCCGCGGCCAGTCGCCGGGCACTTCGCCCTCCCGCCACACGGTGGCGTCTCCTGAGGGCGCGGCGGCCGGTGGTACAGTCCGTTCTCCCCGCGCCCCTCGCGCAGTGGGCCCTCCCAGGCGTAGAAAAGCATTGTGGGCGGGCCGCGCAGCCTCTCCCGCCGCCGCGCGCTGCAGCGCTGCTCTACCCTGTGGGCCCTTCCGGCCAGGGGCTCGCAGCAGCCCTGGGAATGGCGCGCGGCGCCCGGACTCTGAATGCGTGGAGGGCAGCGGCCTGGCCTGCCTTCAGCCGCCTTGTCCATGGGAGCCCAGAAGGCCCCGAAGCGGCCCCGGTCCGCGTTCTCTGGCCAGGAAATGGGCAGATTGACTTGAGCGCGTTTGAGTTTTCGGCCATCGGCAGTGTGCCACGGAGTATTTAATACAAGCGGGGATTTCTTTCTTGGAAAGGGAAGGCTGTCAAATGCATGTGCGCCTAGCCTGTCACAGTGACGTCAACGTAGAAGTAAAATGCCATTTAAGGTTTAAGTCTTGGTAACTGTTTCAAGGTGCACAACTTGGCCGAAATCGAATGAGCATCACTAACTGAAGGTGAGTTTTCATGTCAGTGCAAAAAGACCAGTTGCCTCGAAATTAAAAAATTTTAACCATCTAAAATACTGTAGTTTTCATTATCTAGTCAGGATTTAGAAATATAAATCTAGAGCTGGTGGCAATCGTTCCCCTTCCAACTGTAATCAACAATTTATCTCAGCCAGTCGATTTAGGGTCAGAAACTTTGTGTCGTAAATACAGCAGTCCATTCGTGGTTTTCTCGTAGCCTTTGTGTTGCCCGTTCACTTTTGGACACTAGTGAATGCGGTGTCAAAAAAGGCATAAACTAAGCACTTCGCAGCCTTTTCCTGCCCATGAATTTGATATCATTGGTGTAGGCGCTGCATAAGTAACAGCTTAACATGCTCATGGTTTTACATGTGTGATCTTGAGTGTGCTCACATTCAGTGTACAGTTAACCGATTTTAACTAATTTTCATCTTGAGTGTGCTCACATTCAGTGTACAGTTAACCGATTTTAACTAATTTTCATTCAGGTGAAAGGTGGATATCTGAAGCAGACTGCTGCTTGCCAAACATTACCTGGGAGCACAAAAATGACCTAAGGTAGCGTATACTGAACTAGAAGTTCTGTCAAAGTAGTTATTTGTAACACACATTTTATCTTTCTAGATGGGGGTGCCTGCTCTAGAGGGTATTTAGTTGTTAATGGTTCATTGGTACAGCACTACTACATCTGTAGTTATCAGGAAATGGGATAATCTGTTCCAGCTTATTTTTGAACTCTTTAACAATACATGGTTCATGTGTGGTGGCTAAATTTTAAAAAACTACTTGCCAAGTCTTAGGCATATCTTGTGTTGACACTTAAAGCTATGTCGAAACGGCATAACAATGCAACATAGAATTTTGTACTTAGAGTTTATTTATGAAGTTCATAAAATATAAGGCATGTTAATACTTGCTTGTCAAATTGGGTGCTTTTTTTCTTTTAGGATGTCCTTGGTGAGGAATTTGAAAGATTCATCTTCGCAAGGGTTGCTTGGATTATTTAAAATACCCAGGAGCCTGAAGGGTGCTAAGATTCTGGACAGTCTGTAAACGTGCATTTAAAACTGTGGGGCTATAAATAAATATTTTGATGTGCTTTGAGGTTTTCCTATTAAGTGCTTAATTGCCAGAAATCAATTCTTTACTGAAAGATCAAAAGGAGGGTTCTCTTCCCCAACTTTCAAAATTGTGGAGTCAGCAATTGAGATGAATATATTCAGTACTGTCAGTAACTGATAGCCTTATGAAGTAAAGGCTGCTTGTGCTAGGCCCAAAGAAGTGCTTTCATTCAATATCTCATGCATGATGCGCTGAGCTAGACTACATTTCTAGGTCTTAAGTGTGCTTGCCACTTTTTGTTGTTTTTGCTAGATTGTAAGCTTACGGTCAGCATATCTTTTGCCCTCAATTAGGAAAGAACAAATAGTGTGTTCAGGCATTCAAAGAATTTATTGAAAGCACTGAATTGGGAGCTAGGAACACAATGGTAATAAGCAAAATACAGTTCCTGCCTTTGGAAGCTTAGAATTGAACGGAGGAAATGTCACAAATGTAAAACTTTTGTTGAGACATGTCCCATGCATGGTAGGATTTGACCAAGTCAGGGAAACCTGGAAAAGCAGTTGAGACTAAGGGTAGGTATCAATTTTGCAAGGCAAAGTTCGGGGAATGGTATGTGCCAAGGCCTCGGGCTAGAAAAAAGGGTTATGGCCATAAATCCAGACTCGGTGACAGTGATAGCTGCTTCCCCTCTGAAGTGCCCTCAATTCAGACAAGAGTTGAGTGCTTATTGAGGCTGAAGGTGGCAGTTATGGGAGCTGGGGGTGTTATGATGAGAACAGGTCAGAGGCCAAACCATTTAAGGCTATTTAAAGCAAAAGGAAATCCCTAACAAATTCATGCAAGAAATGTAATACAGGTTAGCCATTTGGAGGCTACTGCGGTTGTCTAGGCAAGAGATGACCACCCTGGACCAGGGTGAGTAAAATTAATGAAGAGAGCTAGTTAAACTAAGCAGGGTTTGGAAGTGGGGAGGTGTCCGCAGTGACTGCTTTGTGAGTAGTCCCAGCCGTAATGCTCCTAAATGCAGCTGGGGAGCAGCATTTTAAGCTAGTTGAATTGGCATCACCTTTCAGAGATCTAAGTTGGCAGAACACTGGTCCATAGTCTAAGCTATAGAAATAAACCCTAAATCCATGAGCATAAATGTGATGAAACTCTGATAATTAACTGGTGAGGTAGAATAGCATAAGCAAAGAATGGTCAGAATATTTTTTTTTTTAAATGCTGCATTAAAGGAGCAAGAAAATGTTGCAAGGCAGTCTAAGTTACCGTAGGCATTTGGTGATGTGAAGGTGATTGCAGCGAGGTCTGCTTCAGTGGAGCAGTGGGGGAGAATATACTAGGGATCAGTTAACAGATCAGATGGATTAACAGCAGAATATTGACTACCAATAATCCAAGAAACTTGGAAAGTGGTAAAAGGTAGCTGGAAGGGGGTTCATGGTGGTGAAAGTTGGCTGGTTGGCTTTTTTAGGTGTGTCTCAAAAGTTTAAAACCAAGTGGCAAAGATACCTAAGAGGGAGCGGGAGAATATTTTGATAGAAGGGAGAGCCAGGGACAAGAAGGCCAAAGGAGGTGATGCCAAGACGCAGGTGGGGGGACAGGACAAGAGGAAGGATTTGGGTGGATGGCCACTGTGGAAAGCTTTGTGAAGTAATGGGAAGATGAAAAGTCCAGTGTATTTCCATTTTCCCTATTAATAGGGAAAATAAAAAAGCTCTTCACAGAGAGGAGAGGTCAGAAGTCACCAGGAAGGAAAAAGGGACCATTTGAGGTTGAGGATCATGGATTTATAAACAGGTCAACTGAAATACACATAACCACCTTTTCTTTCTGAAAACTAAACATTACAAATTAAAAGCAACACTTAAAAAGTTTTTACATTTGTAAATAACCAGTGGAACTTAATGCCACAAAATACAGTGTTAAAAGAACATTTATATGGATAAAAATATCTGCAGTCTGAAAGTGATGCCTCAGTTCACGTGTGCACAAGTTGAGATCAACTAGAGCTGGGAAGAACTTTTCCATCCCCCTTGGTACGCTGTTGCACAGCCAACCAGCTGCAGCCCAGGATTCCAGAACTTTGATCAGAAGCATCTGGTCTTGGTTGTGGTGGACCCGAGACAGTTGGGGTTTCCAGGAAGGAATATTCGGCATCAAATGAATGAGCTTTTACAAGACTGCTGTCCTTCCAGTTACAAATAAAAAGGCCTGTTGGCACAGATGTGCTGTACTTCAACCTTTAAAAGATACAACACTAAATTACTTTCTTCTGAAGAAAACACTTGAGCAGGTCCAAGATACTTGAATAATTAAAATTCACAGTTTCAAATTCACACACACCCTTCCCACCCCCCATACCAAACCCTTTTGCACTGGGATCAAGTCTCTATCTTGAGGCGTGAAGCTTGGATAGTTTTTACTGTTTTTGCTGTGTGTTTTCCAGCCAGATTGCTTGTTGATGTCTGAGTCTTTTCTTCAATCAGGCTATCTTTAGACCCATTTTTTCTCTAGAACAAAATATATTCAAAAAATAAAGGAAGATTCAGAGATGGAAATACAGCCAAATCTATTTTATTAATAAGATTTAAGACATCAATTACCAAAATTGAGAGGTTCATAATATCAAAAGCTGTTCAACAAAAACTCCCTCTACTTCCTCTACTTAGTTGACCATAACATAAAGATTGTGTTTAAATCTTTTAAATGTAAAGCAGTTAATCTGACAGTTACATGCATAGTATTTTGTGAAGATGAGGCATGAATATCAACACTACCCCAATTCAGTAATATGTCCTTGGCAGTCATTCCTAAACTAGGCTCTCAGGCCTCCCACTTTTCCAAGGTGGGGCAGAGAGGTGAAGATAAGTATAAGCAGGCCAGGCCACTGCCAGAACTCTGGCACCAGGGTAGAACTATGAGATTTTTCCTGCTTTCCCACGACACTTAAGTCCTTTCTCCATAATGCAACAACCAGATCAATGGTTTTCTTTGGCAGACAGAATAAAATCCAAACTCTTCCCCATGGCCTCTAAGACCCTATGTTACCTGCCCTCCTTCCCCCTCACTGCTCAGACCACACTGGTCTTTGGGCTCTGCGAACACCCAGGCCCTTTCCAGGCAGCATTTGTTCCCCTCATACCCTGCTCCCCGCAATACTCCCCCTGACCCATGCTCTTCACAGCGCACGTGGCTGGCTCCTCACCTGCAAGGTTTCAGCCTTACAAGTCACTTGGGGTGGCCTCTGACCATCCTATCAAAAGTGAAGTCACCTGCCAATTTTCTAACTCCAGACTTTGCTTCATCATAATACCTAATTTTTTTTAACTGTTCTGCCTGTTTGTTTACTTGTATGTGTTATATGTCTAGGCCAGGAATCCACAAACATTTTCAGTAAAGGGCCACATTGTGGACTACTTTCTGTTTGTATTGCATATTCTTTTTTTTTAAACAACCTTTAAAAATGGAAAAACCATTATTAACTCCTGGGCTGGACAAAAACAGCAGCAGACTAGATTTAGTCCAAATGCTATAGTTTGCTAACTGCCCATACCCAGTGCCTGTCATTCCTCAGATGTGCTCACAAGATACTTGTTGGATCCAAAATCAGAGGGAAGCTTAGAATCAGTGTCATTAATCAAAAGGTGTAAGTCAGTGGTTCTTGTGTACCTATGGCCTGTTCTCACTTTGCAGCAAAGTGAGAGCTGTTATTGCAACACTTAATGTGTATAATTTTTTGATATTCCTAAGTGACGTTGATTAGGGAGTCTAGAGCAGTTGACAAAAATACAGTAAAATAACAACATTTCTAATTGTACTCAAAGCAACTTGAATTTAAGACAAAAAAAAAAGCTCTGAAAAATAACTGTTAATTGTAACGGGAACCCTAAAAGGTAGGTAGGCTATTTACATTGCACAGAGATTGAGGCTTAGAAATTACACAATTTGCTCATAATAACACAAATGATATGTGGAGACAAGGAGACAAAAATGCAGGTCATTCTGAAAGCAAAGCTTAAACTACTATTCATGAATGTAATTTTCTTAAAGTGCTATTGACTTGCAACAAATTGTTTGGACAACCTATTAGCTCACCCAGATTTACCTATAAAAATTATGCAGGTTTTAATGGAAGTTGTGGCTAACCACCCAGATCTTTGTTCAAGACTGAGTCATTGATTCCCCCACTTGTTGGCTGCCTACAATTCAAAACTGAGCCCCTCCCCAGGAACTGCCCTAGGCTGAAGAGAGCTGCTCACCCAAGGTCTTCCCCACTCCCAGGGGCACCCTTTATCCAGTGACTCACTACATGGTGAGTGAGTGTGTAAAGCCCAACCCCCTCATCTCCAGGTGGGCTGGATGGAAGGGCCATCTCAGCTCCAAAGCTGCCCATGGAATCAGCTGATCCCTTTATTGTGACTATCCTTCCAGTTAGGCTCTTGCCTATCTTTCACTTCCCAACAATAGAAGATCCTAAGAGTGCTTCCTAATAAACTTCCTTCACATAAACCTCCATCTCAGAGTCTTTTCCTAGGGAACCCAACTTAAGTTAGCAAGGCTCTTTCTGTCCTTGCTCAAGTCATTGACAAAATAAATCAAAACAAACCAAGGGCATGATGGATACTGCTGGCATTAGTGTTCTTAGGCTGTCCATGAACTCCCTGGATTTATACACAGAATGGTATATGTGCTTACATGCATTTTTATGGGAGGGAGGGAGTACTTATAATGCTTTTCAAAGGGATCCACTATCCAAAAAAGATGGAAAACAACAACACTGCCAGTAGGCTGTTTCTGAGCCACTGTACATTGATTATAAACAACTTGATTTTTAGAGTGGTTATTTAGCCAGACACAATGATCTTATATAGCCTACATCTTTCTGTCTTAAAAAAACATACCAGGAGAGGCTGTCATGCACCCTGCCAAAAATATGTCTGGTCCAGTGCTCCCCTGATAAATCTATGCCAGCTAAGAGTTAAGTTGATTTTGTCAAGGCAGCTAGATGCTTTTCTGTGTCCTTCAATTCTTTTAGCCACATTTTTTAAGCATTTTCACAACAAAAGCAACTCTTTGGTGGAAGACAAATAAAACAGGACTTGAGTACTTCTGTCTGCCTTAAGTTAACAATAGAACATCTAGTGAAGTCACCTGCCAATTTTCTAACTCCAGACTTTGCTTCATCATAATACCTAATTTTTTTTAACTGTTCTGCCTGTTTGTTTACTTGTATGTGTTATATGTCTAGGCCAGGAATCCACAAACATTTTCAGTAAAGGGCCACATTGTGGACTACTTTCTGTTTGTATTGCATATTCTTTTTTTTTAAACAACCTTTAAAAATGGAAAAACCATTATTAACTCCTGGGCTGGACAAAAACAGCAGCAGACTAGATTTAGTCCAAATGCTATAGTTTGCTAACTGCCCATACCCAGTGCCTGTCATTCCTCAGATGTGCTCACAAGATACTTGTTGGATCCAAAATCAGAGGGAAGCTTAGAATCAGTGTCATTAATCAAAAGGTGTAAGTCAGTGGTTCTTGTGTACCTATGGCCTGTTCTCACTTTGCAGCAAAGTGAGAGCTGTTATTGCAACACTTAATGTGTATAATTTTTTGATATTCCTAAGTGACGTTGATTAGGGAGTCTAGAGCAGTTGACAAAAATACAGTAAAATAACAACATTTCTAATTGTACTCAAAGCAACTTGAATTTAAGACAAAAAAAAAAGCTCTGAAAAATAACTGTTAATTGTAACGGGAACCCTAAAAGGTAGGTAGGCTATTTACATTGCACAGAGATTGAGGCTTAGAAATTACACAATTTGCTCATAATAACACAAATGATATGTGGAGACAAGGAGACAAAAATGCAGGTCATTCTGAAAGCAAAGCTTAAACTACTATTCATGAATGTAATTTTCTTAAAGTGCTATTGACTTGCAACAAATTGTTTGGACAACCTATTAGCTCACCCAGATTTACCTATAAAAATTATGCAGGTTTTAATGGAAGTTGTGGCTAACCACCCAGATCTTTGTTCAAGACTGAGTCATTGATTCCCCCACTTGTTGGCTGCCTACAATTCAAAACTGAGCCCCTCCCCAGGAACTGCCCTAGGCTGAAGAGAGCTGCTCACCCAAGGTCTTCCCCACTCCCAGGGGCACCCTTTATCCAGTGACTCACTACATGGTGAGTGAGTGTGTAAAGCCCAACCCCCTCATCTCCAGGTGGGCTGGATGGAAGGGCCATCTCAGCTCCAAAGCTGCCCATGGAATCAGCTGATCCCTTTATTGTGACTATCCTTCCAGTTAGGCTCTTGCCTATCTTTCACTTCCCAACAATAGAAGATCCTAAGAGTGCTTCCTAATAAACTTCCTTCACATAAACCTCCATCTCAGAGTCTTTTCCTAGGGAACCCAACTTAAGTTAGCAAGGCTCTTTCTGTCCTTGCTCAAGTCATTGACAAAATAAATCAAAACAAACCAAGGGCATGATGGATACTGCTGGCATTAGTGTTCTTAGGCTGTCCATGAACTCCCTGGATTTATACACAGAATGGTATATGTGCTTACATGCATTTTTATGGGAGGGAGGGAGTACTTATAATGCTTTTCAAAGGGATCCACTATCCAAAAAAGATGGAAAACAACAACACTGCCAGTAGGCTGTTTCTGAGCCACTGTACATTGATTATAAACAACTTGATTTTTAGAGTGGTTATTTAGCCAGACACAATGATCTTATATAGCCTACATCTTTCTGTCTTAAAAAAACATACCAGGAGAGGCTGTCATGCACCCTGCCAAAAATATGTCTGGTCCAGTGCTCCCCTGATAAATCTATGCCAGCTAAGAGTTAAGTTGATTTTGTCAAGGCAGCTAGATGCTTTTCTGTGTCCTTCAATTCTTTTAGCCACATTTTTTAAGCATTTTCACAACAAAAGCAACTCTTTGGTGGAAGACAAATAAAACAGGACTTGAGTACTTCTGTCTGCCTTAAGTTAACAATAGAACATCTGCCTCCTATGAATCTACCACTTTCTCCTTGTTTCTCTGGCTTAAAAGATATCTACAAGTATTTTTTTAAATTATTGAAGCCATTCTTTATTTATCCTGGCTCCAAACAATCTTACAGACATCATCATCCTTGGTTTTGCCCCAGGCCTCAGATCATTTTTTATTTATTTTTTATTTTGGTATCATTAATAAACAATTACATGAGCAACACTGTGGTTACTAGACCCCCCCTTCATCAAGTCCCCGCCTCAGATCACTTTGGAGCTTGCACTACCTCTGGCTCTCCCTCAGAGTGTGCGGCTGACACTTCCCATGGTGGGCCCCGTCTTGCTCATGAACCCCTCCTTTCTTCTCTTTCCATGTTTCACACATGTTCTTTTAAAATACAGGTTTTAATGGAAGTTGTGTCTCTAAGAATCTTAGAGAAGTTAAAGACTCATCACCGTACCTCCCCAAAAGGGCTTTCAGGGAAATGCTTCTCAAAACTATCATCAGTACAACACTTTCTTACAATCCTATCATTACCAACCTGGTGAACTGTGGCGCCGCCAGAGCCCCGGGCATCGGAAGAGCGCGTCACGGGAAGCGGGGGCACGAGGCCCGCTTCTGAACTGCAAAGAGTAGGTTTCAGAATGAACGACTGAGACAGTCCCTGCAGCCAGAACCTGTGTTGGGAGAGCGCTACGGCAGAGAGAACATGTTTCCTGCACCTCTGTATTCCCTCTAGGGCCTCCCACAGTGCTACACAGAGAAGCGCTTAAAAAATATTTCTGAATTAAATCGGATAGGTTAAGTAACTTGCCAAAAATCACAGTAAATATTTATAAAAACCAAGAATAAAACACAGGTATGGTTTCCATGTGCTTTCCTTACTGGGACATGGTGTTTAAATGGCTTTTTAAATTGTTCCTAGAGAAACATGTTTTGGCCGTCTACTTCTTAGACAGGCATGATCCACATTTTACAAACAAAACAAAACCTGGCCTCCCTCCACTGGGCTAACCTACCTTCTAATTTATTAATATTTATCAAAGTTTGGAGCCTTAATTCTGAGTTTAATGGTGCACATTTCTAACCAACAATACTATGTACAGGAATTTCCATGATAATAGTACTTTTACTAATGGATGCATAATGATTTCATTAACATTAATTTAAAACATACACCTATTATGGGATTTGGTTCTTTCCTCACAAGAAAAATAAACACAAACTGCAATCTATGTTATTTAATGTCGTAGGAGACAAAATGCCATCAGATCATAAACTCATGCCAACTTCTCTCAAATATGGATGTGCTATTCACAATAGAATACTAGCTCATGTGTTGTTTTTTCTTCTAAAAGCTTCAGTGCATAGCTTGGAAATGCCATGATTCATCCTAAGTATGGTCTAGAGCTGCTCCATCCAAGAAGTAGCTGCTAGCCACCCATGACTACTTACATTTAAATTAATTAAAATTAATAATTTAAAGCTTTTAGTTTCTCGGGTCACACTAGTCACACTTCAGATACTCAGTAGCTGCCACAGATAGAGAACATTTCATCGCTGCGGAACGTTCTATCGTACCGTGCTGCCCTGAGGCCGCGAGGGCGGCGGGGGACCCAGGCTGCCTACTTACTTCACCTCCGAGAGAACGGATCGCTCGCCGTCTGAACACTGGGACCTGCGATACTGGCGGTGACTTCGCGGCGAATGGGAATGCCGGATGCGGACTGGGTCACCTTGCGTCCTGCACAAGCAACCGAAACACGTGCAAACAAACAGCATAAGCCAGAACAGGGTAACTTGGACTTTTCTTAATATTGAAACTGCAAAGGACTAATAACTGAGAGTTTTAAAAAGAATTTGATTCCTCTAAATTTGGAAAGTCTAAGTGGCTTAAATTTCACTAGCTAACAGTAGAAAACTGCTTCCTTGACCACACATTCATGTATGGGCTCTTCCTGGATTTTTGTATGTGTGTGTGTGTGTGTATACGTATTTTTTTTTGACTACCAAATTTTCATGAAACTATTCCCTATAGTTTACAAATTCTCTCCATAAATTTGGAAGAACAAAAATCTACACTGTAGACAAAATGGCATTCCTACCAGAAAAAGTTGGTCATTCTCCTAGCTACTAACTAACCTGTCATTAAGAATTCAATCTTTGGCCTAAAGATGAGGGGTGGGTGTGGAGGTGCGGAGAGTATGTATCAACCTGCGATTTGACCAGACTGGGAAGAAAGCATGGGTTACAGAGGGAAACAGAGCAGTGACGTAGGGTCTCACTTTCTCTCAACCAGTTACAGCGCGGCAGGAAACAGAGTAGGTAGGTCGTCTTATGCTGTATCCTACACTGAGCCGGGATCAGGGAATCTGTTATGCTTGGAAGAGGCATCAGTGACTCGAGCTTATATGACAGGGTTCTATGACCAGCATAATTCTCTTGCTGTTAAAATAATGAATAAAAAGAAACTTTGGTACCTATCAATACGTATCTCAAAAAAATAATTTCCAATTTAAAACACATTAGTCATCAAAAGCCCCTTTGACCTATCACATACAAATAGGCAGTTTGTAGAATGACATTGTACTACAGAATAAAATTAGCTTTAACACACTTTTTTCTACCTCTTTCCCTATATTTTTAATTTTAGTTAAAATGTAAAGACAAAGACAAAGCACTTCATGGAAAACCACTGGAGAGTAAGAATGAATTATTCACTTTAAAATTACTAATAAAACTTTTGTGAAAAGATATTCAAAGACATACTCTATCTTAGTGTATGGAATCTCTTTCAATTGTTCTTCTGACAATCCAGAAGGATCCACAAGTTCCTTTCTAGAAGGCAAGGAACAAGAAAAATTAAAGTTGTGATGCTGATATAAATGCTAATACCTTTCACAATTGGCAGGTGAGTTTTCCCTTTCTAACCTTGTCCCAAAGCACAGTGTTAGTAAAACTAATAGAGCCATAGCCAGGAACAAAGATTTTAAAATACATTTAAAGAATATATTCACAGAAAAATGGGAACACCTTTTGTGTAGCTCTTGTACCTTTTTTCCAATTTTACAGAGTCCAGAATACAAATGGCTCCCAGCCACCCCACAAAAGATTCTCTCCCCTATAGTAGGTATCCTTTTTCTTCTGAATCTGTATTTCTTAGTATTTAATTGTAAAATATTGGCCTGAGGCCCATTTACAGGCAAGGCGAAGGGCCTTAGGAGAGGACACGTAGGTCGCCTTTATGGGGACTGCCACCTCACTGAGGCCCTGCCGCTGTGAGCGCCGCGTTCCACATGGTGGCGATAAGACGACTTTGATAGGCTTTAGCCCAAGGCTGCCCCTTGGGGTCAGTGGTCTCCCTTGTAAATGCCTTAACACTGCACAGATTTTAAACGAGTAAAAAAAAAAACCAGGCAGTACTCACTGAATATGCTTCCATAACTCTTCTTTGGCTTGGATATCAGGGCTTCTCCTGTAAACAGAGAAAATACCACTTATCTCTGCAATAATGCTTCTCTAACAATTGAATAGCTAACTTCAGCAGAGCTACATTAAGTTTTAGACAGTGAAGCACTTATTTCCAGCTGAGCTCAGACAAGAAAAGACTGGATGGGGAAGCTAATGTGGGATGGTTATTATAAAGACATCAGATAATTTATCTGCTAGCACTACTGAAAAAATTCATATAAAAATAAGTCATAACCAGGGCTTCATTTAATGAAGGAGCATAGAACGTGCAGGGCCAAAGCCACACACCCTCCAGGAGTGATTTTACAATGAAGATAACTCAGGGCTCCCGTTTCTGGTCCTTCTAGCTATTTCTAGGTAAAGGCAAAAGAGCTCATGCTGATTCTATCAGCATGAGAGATTCCCACCAGGACCAGTGATAACCTAGCAGAGGCAGCGGCCCCCAGGCATCAGGACATGGTGGGACAGCCCAGACCCGCAGACTGTGTGACGGACCCACCCTTCCCATTACATCTGATGTTGTTTCTGGGCCAAAGCACAGTCTCGCAAATGTTGGAACCTATCTGTGGCTCGTGCTGCCGCCCTCTGTATGCCCTACTCCATCCCTACCGACAGACCTCACAAATCTCCAAGAGCAACTTGAGTAGAAATTACACGCTCTGTTTAACTTCCTAGAATGAGAAATTCAAAGTCGGAATTTATATGTTCACATTCCCCACAACAGCAATAAATACTAGAAATCTGTATCAGTGCAGTTGTTGCCAGAGAAGGACATTTTTTCCTAGTGAGAGAATGGTAAGCTTTCATCAATTCTTTCAAGAGAAGAGAGGACTAATAAAGTCCCAAAGAATGGACCCAAACTCTAATAATTAAAAGGCCCGGAGCTAAGCAAAGCCACCAATATACTCTGTTCTGTGGAATTTTACTTTCATAATCTGTATCAGCATTTGGGGGCTCAATATCACTTTCAACAGATGATATTGCTTTCATTGTTCTCAGTTAATAATTTTGGTAGGGCTTTCAGAGCCCACAGAATACAATAAGCTACTTCCTAGCAACTGAATTGGCTGTTTTCCTTTGTGTGTGGGGTGGGGGGAATCTGTCTGAAAAGACCTTTTAATCAACTCAAAAGGAGCCAAAACATGGGAAGATGAGGGGAAGGAGATGAAGCCTTGGTCTCAAACAAGTGTGGTATTGCTCAATGTAGGTTTGTTACAAGAATAAAATTGTATGCTGAAATCAAGTTTGAGAAAGACAGATGCACTCCTATGTTTATCGCAGCACTATTTACAATAGCCAAGAATTGGAAGCAACCTAAATGTCCATCGGTAGATGAATGGATAAAGAAGATGTGGTACATATACACAATGGAATACTACTCAGCCATAAGAAGTGGAAAAATCCAACCATTTGCAGCAACATGGATGGAGCTGGAGAGTATTATGCTCAGTGAAATAAGCCAAGCGGAGAAAGAGAAATACCAAATGATTTCACTCATCTGAGGAGTATAGGAACAAAGGAAAAACTGAAGGAACAAAACAGCAG